TTTACCTTCTCAAATTAAAGGTAAATACACTTAATTTTAACTTATTTCTGGATGTTTTTTCCAGCTCCTCTCACCGTGTACGCCGTGTCTCCAGGCCTGGAGTCTGGCCTCTGCCAGTTAACGTTGGCCAAGATCTTTAGGACCACCAAGCCGAAGGCCACGATTAACGCCCCCAATGAGTTTCCTAACACGGCCTCTGCTGGGAGGCTGGAGTACGGCTGCGTCCCGTTAGGCGTCCCCTTCCTGTGGAAACAACCAGCGGTCAGGATTCCCCCCGTGGCATCATCTTAGAGCAGCGCAGACCACTCACAGGACGAAGAAGAGCTTCTCGTTGATGCCGGAGATGCAGGCGGCGACGCTGAGCAGCAGGATGCTGCCGCCCAGCCACACATGGACGGGCTTCAGGAGTTTACGGAACGCCACGGGGGAGCAGGGCAGCAGGAAGCCGGCGAAGCCCACCGCCCACTGCAGAGATGAGACGACTCAGAATCAGACATAATCCCAGAGGGAAATTACTTAGAAAACAAAAACACATTCCTCCATTAGGATCCACGTACCTGAAGAGCAAAAAGAGCCACGGCAGTGATCCCGATCCAGCTGTGCAGCGAGTAGAGGTTGGCGATCTTCTGGGCGTTGTGGAAGTCAAAGACGGCGCAGAGCCCCAGGATGGACAGGATGAGGGAGAGCAGCATCAGAGCTGCATGGAGCAGCTTCCAGGGAAGTTTATTCTGACCCCAGGTCAGCGGGACGCGGTACACCACCGCTCCTGGAAAACACAACCGAAACCCACAGGAGACATTAGAGGACGAGATCAGGAAGAAGCAGATCTTCTGCATCTGCTGTTTGATGAGGAACTGGTTCCACAGGATGTCGTTACGCTACTTTACAATCAGTCCACATGGTTCCTGTTTTTAGGTTCGAATGTTTTATTAATCTTTAACAGAGAAGCAATGATTGAGCAAACAGATCACCAGTGAGCGCCTGAAATGTGTTCCCAGTTAAAAACCGACATTACTGAACTGCTTTCTTCCACATTCTAGTTAAAATTAAAACATTTCAAGCGTCTCTGTCCACCTTTCAACATTTTTCACTTTTATTTGATGATTATTCTTTTCTAACGAGCAGAAGGAAGGCCTCCCCACCATCACCCTCATCAGTCACACTAAGGGTCGCCAAATCTTTGGAAAAAAAAAAAGGTTGTGGTGATTTTTTTTAACTATTTCACTCAAACCTGATTAAATTAGATGCATATTTTTCTGTAACATGAACACATGCAAAACTAATTATTATCCAGCAATTAACTTTAATACAAAATAAACTTTAGCCGAATAAAATAAGTATCTGAAACATAAGCCTGTCCGGCTTAAAGGAGCAGGAGATCTTTTTTGACGCATTTTTTACCATGTGGCTTAAAGATCTGCCCACAGCTGCATAGCAAGCGGTGAAATAGAACTGGAAGTGAAACTAAAATAAATGGCCGCCGCTACAGTGAGAAATCTATGAATAACCCCAACCAATCACAGAAGACGGTCCGTTGTACACGATTGGTTCCGGACGCGTCAATCATGGGCATCTGCTACCTGATAGAGTGACATTTTTTCGGGAATCCCGTGGGATAAGAATCAGTATTAGTAACGATCACGTGATTGGGACGGTACAGGGTTAAACATTAACCGGAGCAAACCAATAGTAACTAAACAACAAAAAAACTAGGATCGATCCCAAAACATAAAATAAAATAGAAAGA